CAAATTATTTCGTTACCCCCACCGACGCAGCCCCAAACAGTTTCTTTAGAAACTATCAGCCTTTACTCATTTTCAAAATAACCAACAACAAAATATCAAAATAACAGAAAGAGTACTCACATCTCTTGAAATTTGAAACTTCTCCAATTGTTCATCTAATGAAAGCTGATTGGCAGGGTTTTCCTCCTGTAAAAAAAGGGTCAGAATTCAATGAACTATATGATTTTGATGAAATACTTCATGGTTTCTCTTACAATGTTTATGATATTTTTTTTTCTTTGTACAACTACAAAAAGGAAACATCCAATTGAAAGTCATCCCTCCACATTTATGAGTTTCTCTGGCTAACACATACTTTAACAAATTAGTGTATGCACAGTTAAAGTTTTTGTGGGCTGTTTTTACTTTTTTTTTTTTTTTTAAAGTAAGGTAGTTTTCAATGGGTGAGCCAAGGAATAAAAACAATACAACCCACTAGGAGTAAAGACATGCATATGGCCATGCAGTAATCATTTTAAAGAACACTTCTTCACATAATGCTCCACTTTCACTGACAGTAATTACAAACCTCACAGAAGACATAAAGAGCTGAATTCCATTTAATCTGATTCATGATTTCCTCGCCACTCCAAATGTGACGCTCCCCAAGGAAATCAAGTTTGGATCTATTTTCCTTTGTTTTTGCACAGGAGAATCTGCAAATCAAAATTCATTTTGAACTGATAAAATTGATGCTGCCAATGTTATCCCAAGAAATTTTTTTACACAATAATTATGCATAGTGGACATCGCTATAATCTTCTAAGTCGAGAGGAGAATAATCCAGAAGGATTCATTTTCTTTAAAGAGTAGCCTTCCCAATTGTGTTTTTTTTTAATATTATTGTCATTGAGCAGGGGTTTCATTAAGGGCCAGGCACCGGACAAATTGACCGGTTGTGAGGACGGCTTTGCCCACCTGATTTGACCATTTGCAGGAAAGTTTATCTTATAAACAAGTTCAGTTCAAAGAGTTTTGCCCACCTGTGAAAACCAGTTGCCCTCCTGCAGAAAACATTAATGAAACCCCTGATTGAGTTTAAGATCTAACAACATTCCACTACACTTTCCTTTCCAGGGAGTTCATTGGCATTTAAGGTTGGAGAATTCTCTTGCTACAATGTACAATTCCTTGGCTAAATTTCCATGGTCTGAGGTATCTTTTTATTCTGGCATGGAGAATGTTGTCTGTAATTTTCAACTACTATCCTGTGACTATATTGCTGATCAAACTTAAAAATCCAATAGCCCTATTCACAAGTCTCAGATGAGTTTCCAATTTTTTCTAGTTTGTTTCTGACAAAACACACCTTGTACCAGAAAGAAAATTAAAGCTTTCCTCCAGTTTTCTTTGCATCTCTGATGCAGTTGTGCTGGCTGTAAAAGAGACTTTTTTCGACTGTCCTAGCCTCTTTATAATGCTCATTTCAATGGTGGATGTTGGCATATAGACTTCACCATCACTTTCTCGAACTTGGCCCCGTTTGAGTACATTTACGTTTTTTGTAATTATATCACTAAGGCTCTTCTTCCTCTTTCTGCTTGGGGAAATTTCTTCAGCATTGGAAAACATTTTGTGCTGAAAAACAAAATTCCAGGAGAATTGTCAATTGTAGTACATAATATCAATTGATGTTCCATAAAAAAGCAAATAATATCCCAAAAACCAATGATAAAAATCATTTATAATGATAAGAATCACTCATGATGATGACAAGCAAAATAGGAGCAAAAAAATGGGTACACATATGCCAAGAACTTTACTTGTCAACAGACATAGAAATAACCCAGCGTGCCAAATAGGTGAACATCAATTAAAAAAATTCTAGATCAAAGCAAGGACATTTTTGACTGGTGGGAAAGTGGATAAATTCAGATCCTGTGTACTTAAGGCATCTGTCAGCTGATTATCCACTTTCACTATCAGTCAGCATGTCAACTGAGTGTCAGTGGATGTGTAGAACAACATCAGTTGCCTCTCAACCAACACACATCAGATTATACTTAGGCAACAAACATCTGATATTTTAGTGACACTCAGCCAACACTTGGCAGATACTTTAAGAACACTTCCATCACTTGGTTGGTTCTTGTTACCAAGTTCTATTTTCTCTACTCAAATTTAACTTATTTTCTCTTGCCCTTCAAAGAATATTTTCAGTGGCTGTTGTCCATTCTTGACCTTTCATGCCTGCAGCATTCACCTTCCTAAGACTCTTTTTCAGCTTAGGCTTTTTTCTTATTTATCATAATCAAGACTGATAGGGTCACCACTTCCCATTATACTTCATGGACAGGTTCCTTCGAGGAGACAGATAAGCACCTAATAATTCATTTGTTTACCATATCAATGGACTATTGCCTGGTTGTTGACTGACTATCTACTGAATGTCGGAAAAGTGTCAAGTGGCACATCGGTTGAGTATTGACCAACTCTTAACCAATTTAACTACTGAGATATTGGCCGAGAGGACCTAAGGTAAACATGATCCAATTGAAATGCACTAAAAACATGTTTACCCAAGCTTCTTCCTGAAAAAGATGCTAGTGCAGCATTATAATTTTTAGACCAAGTTTTAAACACTTCTAACAGTGTTTGAATGCTCGTTTTTTTGTTTTTTTTTGTTTTTGTTTTTTTAAGAATATTCCACTACATAACAAGTAACCTTTACGTAAACTATACAATAGCCTCCATTTTGTGCAAGTATTTTCTCATATAGATCCCGGAAATTACCTTTCACAAGAAAAGGGCAGCTTTCTGATAGTGTTATACTTCTTAAACATATCATGAGCTGCAGACTTCTATTTAAACAATAGAGTGTTTCTGTTGAGGAACTATCGGCTGATAGTTGCCCCGCAGAAATTTGATGTTCTTAATGCTTCGAGGGCAAATAATGCTAGTTTTAAGAACATCAAATTTCCAAGGGGCAATTATCAGACTGATAGTTCCGTGACATAAACACTCTATTGTTTTTATTGTTCACCACTATATTTTCTTCCGTGCCTACAGCTTGTCACAAATGTCAATAATTCGCAACCGTACATTGGCTAAATAACACGTTGTACCTGTCAGAATTGAAAAGTCACTTTTTTTCCAATCTGCCTAACTTCATGACCATCAAACTATTCAAACTTTTCACAGATGAGTACTATCAATCCAGGTATTTTCCACGGACGGGCACTATCCATCCAGGTATTTTCCGCGGGTGGGCACTATGGGCTGATAGTGTCTCTCCATGGATGAACACTATCGCATCACGTGATTGATTTAAACCAATAAGAACCGGAGAAAATTTAGTGGTGAACTATAATCCACGATAAAGGCTGATAGTTTCAAAAGAAACTGTTTGGGGCTGTGTCGGTGGGAGTAACAAAATAATTTGGATATATCAACAAAGTTGAAGTGGTAAATTGGCCACCGTAACGATTACATAAGCTGACGTTTCGAGCATTAGCCCTACAACGAAGGGCTAACGCTCGAAACGTCAGCTTTTGTAATCATTACGGTGGCCAATTTACCACTTCAACTTTGTTGATATATCCAAATTAAAATCCATGATAATTGAGAAGGGCAAAGCCTGAGTCAACTATCATAGGGAGAAATTGAGAACACACAATTCATTTGTTGCAGTATATATCTAGTTAGAGCTCTACTTAACAAGACAGGCTCGTGATTTGTGTTTGTATTTGTTGATGACTGTACATTGTTAGACTACTCACCTTACTCACTGTCAGAAAGCTTAACTGTGACCATAACAAAATGCTTGAATATGAGGTTCTTAAGAGCCCTTATTTATGGCATATTGGCTTCTAAGACCAAACTGTCTGATTTCACCTCTCCGATTACAAACATTTGTAATCAGACAGGCCAAACTGGACAGTTGAAAAGCCAGTAAAAATGAAATACTTCAGCCGTAAGGCAATATAACTCGATTACCTCGCCAATCGAAATGAAAGAAAAAAAAACCTTTTTTAATGAGCATATTGAGAGGTCAACGTTGAAATCAATCACAGGCATAACAAACTGGCCCAGTGACTATTGTTCAGTATCGATAGCAAGGGTGCAACCGTATGTGCCCTTGCATCAGATTTTTTCATTCCTGAGTTCCTCGTAATTGGACTTCGAGTCGAACGATGCAGGGGTATAAATCGCCTTTGTAATTTCAAATCACTCGCCAGATTACTCCTGAATTATACTCCACTGATGAGACTCTTTTTCCCAAAAACAGATGTACAACTTGAGCAGCAGAAGAATATGTACATCTAAAATTGTGTACATCTCTCAACTAATTTTAGTAAATCACTCGTTCAACATGGCTGCGAATAGTGGCTCTTCTTACACTCAGTCATGTGACTTCATTTTCCCGCCAAAGTCATGTCGGTTTTCGATCAGACGGGAGATTAGGAAAATGTAACAAAAAATATAATAATGAAAAATTACCGTACACTAATACATAGCTGAGACCGAAAACGAGAAGAAATGCAAGGAACGGATTTAACAAGCATTACTGCAAACTAATGAGTAATTTCGTTGACATGGTAAATTATGCAAGAAATAATATTCATCAAGGGCTAAAGAGAGTCATTCAGTACTACTACTTCCTTAAGGTGGATGCGTCAGTAAAACGCTTTAGATTTTATAAACCGCGTAAAGCAAACTAATATTTGAAATACTTCGCTTTAAACAAATGCAAGATTGGAGTTTAGCATATGTATCAAGTACAACAGTTGATCTGAAAGAAGCCTCCAGACAAGTTCGAAACAAACCACAATCAACGTTTATACTACACCTCCACTCTCACGAGACTATGAAAGAAAGAGTTGCGAAAAAGCCATCCGAGAGCACATGATACAAGTAGGTATGCCACTAAACAACTCAAAATTTCTTTGAAAGGAACTACAAACCTTATTATTCTTCTTCGATTGCTACCTTCTTCCTCTCTAATCATTCACGTGAGAGTGACTGACTACGTATTAGTGTCAGAGGTACGAGTAATCACTTCGCTCTACCTACGTTCATGTGATTAAAGTTTTAACCAATGCGCTTCTTTGCTGATACTGGCGTCCGAACGAATGCTGGGATTGACCAACCTAGTACCAGGCCCCTGAGGGCCAACTTGAGGTAAAGCCTTGAAGAAGTACCCAAGTACTGTTAGAAGTATCTGATTTGGCTGACTTTTTTTCTTTCCATGATGAGCTAAGGAGATTATTACGCTGTGTTGGAAAGTGGGAATGACCATAGACATCCCAAAGGTACGAAACTTCTGGCTAAACTTCAGAATACAAGGCCATTTCTACCATCTAACAAACGAGCCGGCTCGTTCAGCTTATCTGCTTCATAATTTGTCCGTTTGCCGAACCAAACGGGCCACTAAGTATCTTATTATAGACCTTACAATCAACGCGCATATAGATTGTTCCTTGTTCCTTCATCCACTGCCGAGCCAAAGAAGCCTTTAAATGTATATATACGTAAGACTTAACATGTATATTTTTTATATCTCGTTCTTTCATCCACTGTCGAGCCAAACGAGCTTGCTGGAGTTATGCTCCATTTTTTTTACGTTTTGCTTTGGAACGGTCGTTTCTTGTCATTCTTTCTGTTGACCAGTTTACCTCGCATTTTTTTAATAGTACACAATTACCTGGTAATTTCCTTGACAAACCTACATATATTTGACTGTGAGTATCTTCTATGATCATGTTCATTTCTGAGGAAAATTCAAAGACATCTGACAGCAATCAGCAATCAAAACTGTCACTGAAAAAATTTCATGAACAAAAATATGTAGACAAGTTGCATACTCTTCTCATTGCATTTGCTGTCTATCTTAGGATCATTCCATTTTTCAGCCTCTTACTTTTAATTTTTTACCAAAACACTTAAAAAACAAGCTTGACTTACAGTCCTTTAAAAAAGAACTGACTAGACAAAGTCATATAATAAATAGGATGACATTTAATAGCACTGCTCTTGTTAGAAACAAAGATATTGACAACGAAAAGCGAAATCTTTTTGCAATATAATAAATTTTTTATTGACCAAGTTTGTTTGGTCAAGATGGCCGGATATTAGCCTCATTCTTTCTTTGCATTTTTATGGACCTGGACTTCGTCTCGGTCCATAGAAATGTAAAAAAAGAACTCAGCCAATATCCAGCCATTCTGACCTCGTGCTTGGTTAATAACTCATACTCAAGAGTTCTGCCATATTTTGGCAAGCCCGCAGGGCAAGTCAAAATACAAACAAGTAAAAATACGTATATCTTATTAGACATTTTGTTGTGTAGTATCACTGAGTATTTTTATGAGTTGTGCCGTACTTTGACGAGCCCGTAGGGCGAGTCAAAATACAAATAATGAGTAAAAATACTCAGCAATACTACACAATAAAACGTCTAATAAGTTATTTATTATTCAACATGCCAAACTGTTATTTCTGTGCGGGCGAATTTCACGGATATTTATTTACAGGGGATGCGTGACAGAAGTATGCGAAGCGGAACGGAATTGGCAGGTTGTCGTGTTGCTGTTTCTTTTTCCTTCAAAAAATGAAGAAATTTCCAGGTTGTCTAGCTGTTTTTCTTCATTCGATTCACCTAATAAACTTGGATGTATATTTGCCAGCCATTCCGACTCTTCGTCGTCGGAAATATGATTCAAATTGTCCGCCATTTTTTTTTCATAACTGCAGTTCAATTCTTCGCTTGCGCGATGCAAGAAAACCTGTTTAACCAGTACTCTACAGTACAAATACCGCGTGATATTTGAACTCATCTATGGCGTTATTTGTACTCTACGAAGTGTAGTTGGATAATAAAAAGCAATACTAAATGCTAAAACATCTAATAAGTTGTTTATAAGTATCCAACTGCTTTTATTTCCGTCAAATGTTTCTCTTCATTGCTCATAAGGTGGGAAGAGCAGAAGGGATAGAGAAGTGTAATGTGTGCAGCTAACTGATTAAACAGGTTTTTTTACACTACAAAATAACCAACTGTACAATATCCCAGGATATTTGTACTCTACTTTGTGTACTCACACATGTTTTGTACTCTACTTTGTGCGGTTGTATCAAAATATTACTTTTGATAAGTGCATTCTTTTAAGTCAACATTCATAGGTACTAGAATTTTAGAAAAAGATATGAAATTCTGGGACCTTTGCCTGACTGTAACAACATGTTGGCCATGTTTGCACTGATAAAATAGTAATGTGATTGGATGTGACATGTCATGTCACTCACAATTTAGTATCATTTTACTTTTCTCTTCTAATATAGATAATAGATGATATCAAAATGTAGTAAGAACAAAAAAGAGCCACACATGGCACAGCTGAGTGAGTCACTGATGTTCTTACCACATTTTTATGTCTTCTGTTATCTATTACTGATCAGACCCAACTAAACATGGAGTCTATTTCTTGCCACAGACGTCAATCAGTCACCAACTCATAACATGTTGAACAAGCAGGATGCGGGGGCAGTGATTTCAGAGAAGAGTAAGTGATCATTTACAGCATCATGGGAATTCTCATTGAAAAACTGTTTCACACCTGGGCTTCACTCAGGCTTCATAGTTTCTTGTTTGCCGTTTTGTTTTGGCCCCACTGGCCTGACTGCTTTTAGCTGTGTCATTATAGCACGACCAAGCAGGAAAAACCACAATTGAAAAATAAGCAATTAAATAAAGCCCATTGAACTAGTACTTACAGTAAGTAATTCAAAGTTCAAGTGACCGTAATTAATCAGGAAATTGATCTGAAATAAATAATAATAATAATAATAATAACAAATTTTTATACAGGATTGAAAACCCATCAGTGTGTAACACTGTTGTCCTTGGGGTCCTGTCAAAATAATAAATAAATAAATAAAATAAAACTTAACAAGATATAATCTTTGATCTTAAGGTCTAGAAAAGCATACAATAAAATAAAATGCTCTGAAAAAGGATACCTATAACCACGTTTAGATCGAATTTAACTAAAATAATCTCGCAATTTGTTCTTAAATTTCAGTCTCGAATCTAACGACCTTAGTTCAGCAGGCAGGTTGTTGAAAGTCTTTGCTCCTTGGTAATAGAAGCTCTTTTTACCAAATTCTAAACGTACTTTGGGTAATTTCACTGATATACCGTTATTCCTAGTGGCCTTAGAATGAACCAGTCTTTCGAAGTAGTTCTTAAAGGGTGTGCAAACATTATTCAGGAGACAGTCGAAAACAAACAAACAGCTTTTACGCTTGATCAAATTGTTCACGGATGGGGGATTAAAAGAACTATTGCCAATAACTTTAAAGCCTCGTCGTTCGATGTTCTTTATCATTTCCTTTCGGTAATCCGGAAAGCTAAGACCAAGTGTTCCGCAATAGGTAAAAATAGGTGCGATCATAGTGTTATAGATCGATTCTGCACACTTTTGGTCGATCAAAGGACGAATTGATCGCAAGAGATTAATTCTGGTTGCAGCTTTTTTATAGATTCGGTCAAAATGTGATGCAAGGTTTAGTGATGAGTCAAGGTGAACACCTAAGTACTTATAGGTAGAGGTGTTATTGATGAGTGTCCCATTAACAGAAAGTTTAAGTTCCTTGTCTTGAAGGTTGATTCTTTTAGCTGTTCCAAATAACATAGACTCCGTCTTGTCCTTTTTTAGGTTAATGATCAGTTCGTTGTCTTTAAACCACTCGCACAGGTTATTCATATCCTCGCTAAGGCTTCTCTGTATAGTATCAATATCTTTAGAAGAGGTATAGATGACTGAATCGTCGGCATAAGTGATAATCTTCGAGTGTTGAAGCGGTTTATGTTGGGGAGCAGGGATGGCGCAGTGGTGAGAGCACTCGCCTCCCACCACTGTGGCCCGGGTTCGATTCCCGGACCTGGCGTCTCATGTGGGTTGAGTTTGTTGTTGGTTCTCGTCCTTGCTCCGAGGGTTTTTCTCCGGGTCCTCCGGTTTTCCTCCCTCCGCAAAAACCAACATTCCAAATTCCAATTCGATCTGGAACAGTGGACAAGAATAGCCACCCAGTGGATGTCCATTGTTAAATCATCATTTATTTATTTCATTTATTTATTATATTTATATTTATTTATTTAAAGCCATCATGTGGCTATTTTTAATTCTATAATGGATTCCTTCAGTGTCACATAATTAAAGCCAAACAGGCTGTAACTATAAGGCTTCAAACTAATTTCTACCAAATGATTAGTTAAAAATGACTACAACAAGAGAGAAAACCCCAACTTAAGAATTAAAAAAATAAGACTGCTACCCTTGACAGTATTTTGCCTCCATTAAAAAAAAAATAGAAATAAGGAAACATGACTAAGTTAGAAATAGTTATTCTACCCAAGCACAAATTTTTGTGTCAAGGTGTCCCTAGAGTAAAGTTTTTTTCGCATAAACTTTGTATAACATCCATACCTACTAGAAGGTCGGTGTTCGGGCCGACAGCATCTACTAGTGCATTAACTGAGAATTCAAATCCTCTGATAACAATGATAATTTCTACTGAACCACATGACATGCCATAACCTCCTGCCAATGTCACTTTTCTCCTCTTGAGCAAGTTAGGCTCAAGGCCCAAATCATTTACTAGCTTTTTAGATATTGCTGTTGCAGCATCATTCCCAGTGTCAAACTTGACACTTCCTGATACTAATTGATGCCAATTACCATCCACATTCATGATCTTTACTGGCTCCTTGTCAATTGAAATTACTTTTGCCTTGTACCCTGGATAAACAGAAAGTCATAATAAAACATACTTCTTCATTTCCAGACTTGTAACCTTTTCAGCCAAACAATTGTCACTGTTTGACTCTGAAGCACTTTAATCAATCACTTCAACAGTAATCCTTGGGTTTATTTGCTATTAATTCCCAGAAGTTCATCTCTTGAA